AAACCATCATGATTATTCAATCCCATATCTTGAGATGTAATATGCCACCTAGACTTCTTTTCAGCAGTCAGTTCCAGCAATCCCTCATCATCAAGGGACGCATCAAGTAACTCCCATACAATTGTAAAAACAAATCCAACCACAATTAGACCACTTTCAGACCCCTGAAGTCCAAATATCTGGGAAAGATGTAATGTATCATTTATAGCTTCCATGATCCTGCAATTGCATTCACATTTGTTAACTGTTGATGCTGAATAAATTGACTGCATTTGCATTAGTTCAAACAAAGTCAAAATAAGTTCACAAATCTGAGCCAATATACTTTTCATTCATATTGATATCTTACTATCTCCGAGTTAATAAAAAAACAGGAAAAATTTCAGGAGAATAACATGAGAAAAATAATTATAGGTCCTCTGAGCTCCACTTATATCATTTTCACAAGAGCAAGGGTCATCTAAACATTACAAGACAGAATTGAAAGAATCCTCATCTTGAAAACCGGTGCCCCAGAAGCGAAAATTGAAAATATATAAACAAAGGAAATTACTGGAAAAAGAAAATCCCTACCAAGTCTCGACAGTGTAAAGACTACAGAAGAAAGGTTTTTTTTGGAATTAGACTCTCAACTAATGTTTTCCTGAAAGAACTTGATACTTTGGGCTCTGAGACGGTAAAAAAAGATTGGAACGTTATCAACTGAAGCTGCCAATTTGATTAGGAGGACAAAGAGTCCAAGTATGGCCATTAACCTACTTTACCATTGACACAAAAGTAAATAAGTGTAGGCTTTCCTTTTTCACCGCCATTTACCTTTCCACAGTCTCTGACCTCACTATCTAACCAAGAAATCTAAATAAATTAATAAATGAATTCACATACTGCGGTGGCCTATGGTGTCAGCACAAATGTTACATCGCATCAATGTTTTTCAGAGCTAAGATCAAACTTAATAATAAAGGATATCAACAAGCAAGTGGTTAGTAATGAGACAAACTGAAGAAGGATACAAGAGCAAGGCATACTTTTGATAATTTGGACCATTAATCAGAGATGGCAATGAGAAAGCGTATATTTTTAGAAGTTCCATATAAAGCCTGTATGCCACTGGATAGCTCCTTCGAGTCGGGATCACTCTGCAAAGGAAAAATGTAAGGGAAACCGTGAACAAAAAAGACTAACAATTCATTAACCAATGACCACACTTCAATCCCAATTCCCAATCCCCTTCTATAATAGCCAATTTCATTTTTTTGTAACTTAAAAATCCTTTGTTTATAGCTTCAAAATTCAGTAGGTAATGGGCTCACCCCTCTAACTTCTCCACTTAATACGATACTTGGTGACAACAGACAAAATTCAAAATCATGATGTGCGTCTACCAAAGCCCTATGGGCTACACGGGCCAATCTCTTTTTTTCTATCGTACATGTAACAAAAGACTAACAACAATGAAATCCCTTTCTTAAATTGTATGACCATTTTACCTAAACATTGTTACGAATGTGATTCATTAATTTGATTATGTCCCAAAATTCCTCTATGTGGGGGATCATTCTTTTCTACTAGGACAAGCTCGTGGAAATATTTGTATTAATCAATGAGTAGTTGTTGTAGTCACTATTCCTTTTTTTTTTTTTTTTTGCAAAATGCTTTCACATGTTTTCCTTAGAATCTACTTTGATATGTATCTTCTTAAGCCGAGGATCTCTCTACCTTCTAAGACAGGTGCAAGGTCTGCGTACACTCAAACCTCCCCAGACTCCACTTGTAGGATTACACAGGGTATGTTGTTGTTGTTAGACTTTTAACTTAGGAAGTATGTTGAATAGCTATCATCTCATCTTAAAGCTTAGTGAATTTAAGAATTAAACATTATTAACTAATCATTTTTAAATAAACATTCCGTATCAATTCTACTGTATTCAGGTGCCATTTCATTCCACAATTAAACAAAGCGACGATAAAAATCAAAGGCTAGATAAACAAAAACAAATACCTGTTTGACAGTAGAGCTAGAACGAACATAGGAGGTACAATACGAAGCGCCAAAGCTTTCTCAAGGAACTTCCAAGCTATAGGATCATTATTACCCCAACAGATATGAGAAACAAGAAGGCGAGCAACGTCGGTAGAAGGCATGGAGTGTCCGGCAGAGTTAAGAGTGGAAGAAAGTTGCATTGCCCACATCAAAGGGTCTGTGCCTTTCAACTGAGCCAACTTAGTGAGTTCAATCACTCCGTCCCATAGACTCGATTGTTGTCCGGTCACCACAGCCATGGAGATTTTCAACGGTCGCCGGAGAAACTTAGGGTTTAGCTAGATCTGAAAATCGGTCATGAACAGTGAAGAGCTCAAACTGGCGGAAGGAGTTTTATTCAAAGTGTTGCCTCTTTCGTTCTATGTGGAGAAATGACTTGGGAATTGCGGATATATATAAATACAAATATTTTAGTCAATTTCGGAGGCTTTTCTATTGACACTTTTTCGGTCCCCACTTATATTTTTCTCAGTCTTCCAAATACAATTTGCCAAAAAGTATGGAGCCGAATATTTGGACATAAAAATCATGAAATTTGATGGAAAAAAAATATAAAATTTATTTATTTTTTAAAATTTAAAATAGGTTTAGAAATTGAAATTGTGTTTGGATATAAATACAATTGAAATTTTTATGAATAATTTAAGTGAAAAACATTGAATAATTGTGTTTATGAAAATTGATAATCGAATTAAATCAAAATAAAACAATTAATATTTCTAGGTATGATTTTTAAAATGATTACGTACTACTTTATTAGCCTAAGTTAACAAAATATTTAAAAGAACAAAATTATTTGTCTCACATAGGCGAACTTTTTTAATAGTCAGCACTTACATTAGACACTAATTCAACTGTTATTTATAGACGTGTCAAAAAATATTTGTCAAAGAAATATTTTAATTCTCTTTATATTTGAAAAGTTAGTCAATCTTACCTAAAATATCAAAAAATTCAAAAATAAATTCAAAAACCTTGACTCGGTAATTAATTTGATTTAATTATTATATTTGTAAAAACTTATTTAATTGATTTGATTATTATTTTTCAGTAGAAGTCGAACCAAATTGCACTATAAAGACCCCTAGTGTAGAGTCATTCTAACGACGAATTGAATAAAAGAGTTGATGACTTTATGGACCATTATTAGAGTGAGAATATGGTGAAAATCTATGTTTAATCATACACATACAATAATTTACCATCTTTAAGAGTAATTAAAAGGTCTCTACATTTTATTTTTTCAGAAGTGTGCATTCTCACTATGATTGTGGTCAGTGGTCACCCAACTACTTTGCAACTTTCCACTATAAGCTATCATCTAGATCGGATTGTTTCTTTCTTAATCAGAGGAAACATTTTTCTTTAATAAATCCTAGATAACATAAATTTAATTTAGTCGGACTCAATATAAATATCAAATACACAATTTAGAAAATCTTAGGTTAAACTAAATGTTGATCAGTGAAGACAAGAAAGTTTACAAGTGTAGATGACTACTTGTACTCGAAATTTCAGTGAGAGGGTTTAAAGCCAGTTAAGCCAATAGCATATTTCTTTTTTTTTTGTGACCCACTTACTTGCTAATGTTGTACCTCTTCCTTTGCTAACTCTATCACTTCCCTTCTATCTCTTAAACTTTTACACTTGATAGCTCCCTTGACCATTGGGACGATCGAAGTAGAAAGGGGATGCCTTTTTAATTAAGCAAAGAACACATTGAAGCTAGACAGAAGATTCAATCTCATAGAGTTCAATTCTCGTTCTCAACAATATGAGCTCGAAGCTTTCTTGGTAATTTCCGAAACTTATTCGTAGTGGCTCCCTTACATCCCTCATTCTAGAGAGAACCTCAAAGTGACTCTATTTCATTATATTTCATCCATATACCAATTACATTCATTTAATATCCCATTGATGTCGTTGACATAACATATGCCATATTCTAGTCTATCTCTTTCGGTGCTATGCGAGGTTTGTGATTATTTTTCAATCTTTTTCTACTAGGTAATCTAGGATCCCTTCCCATAACGTCAATGCGAGTTTCTCGAACAAGTATTTTTTTTTATGTCCATGGAAGCTAATAAATATACTAGGCAAGACAACATATAATGTCTCAATTTTTCCCTTACCCACAAACAACTTTTCTCCAAATTGGTATATATTAATTTGGCCATGACGGTCAGTGCTCCTAAGATCATAAAAGCAATGTTACGAATAATTAAAAAAAAGAAGGAACTTTCCACCACAAGCTATGACTTCTTAAAAGCCTTCACACTCCATGGGTCCACTGAAATTGCAAGTGATTTTTTTGCAGGATCAATACACTATTATCCAATAAGACAATAGTCTCTACTCATTCGCTTTCCCACTCTTTTGGAGACTCGAACCCATGATTTTAGAATTGAAGATGAGAAGTGCTTACCATCCGAACAGTCTCCTCTTAAATCTTAATGAAATCATCAAAGAATACCCAGGGAAGAGAGTGATTAGACAAAACATCTGACACCTATAGGCTGTAGCTAGAAGTGGTAAAACTAAAATGGGCTCAAAAAATCACAATCCACCCAATCTGTTTAGATTTGAGCAAGTTAGTAACATGTTCATTTTATTAACTAGACTGATATGCAGCCCAAATGGTAAAGAATGCCTAGCATGCATACTGCTGAAACCTAACGCCCTTCTCTTTCCCTAAGCATCAACACTATAAGGGGTTCAAGATCATCTAAAGCTTGTATATGTATTTTGGTGCTACACATTATAGAGAATGTAAATTGCAATAACAAAATCAAGCAATTCTCCCTTAGCATCAAATAGAAGAGTCCTCCAAGGATGGAGGGAAGATAAAGTAACTTTTACCAAGTAAAAACATGAAATTCTAGTCAATCAACTTTAGTAACCACAAAAACTTCAGCAGCAGAAGCCTCACAGGCCTAATTAAATATGAATTCATGATATAACATATTCTTGCTTTAGTGTCGCGCAGTTGGAGCTGGAAACTTTCTCAGATTAAATGTATATTCAATCCTGTGAATCAAGACACCAACACTGATAGTTTGCTCTGGATATTGCTAAGAGCTCCTCTATTGTCATTCTCTCGTGTGCCACGGATTTCCATGGATTAGAGCAACCGATAATGAGTTGACTTGGTGAAATTGAAACCCAAACCATTGGGTGGTCCTGTGAGCACATCCTCTTGTACAACCGCATCGCAGACACTGCATCTTGGTAAGGATCATGGAAACCAACTTGGATGTCATATCTGTTTTAGGTCAAAAGTTTCTGTCAGCATAGCACACAAATGTAATAAACACAGTTGAAGCAAATAACTACTAAGCCAGCCACTAATTCAAGCTCCAAGAAAACAGCAGTGACTGAACAATATAAAGTACATGCCCAATGAGAATATTATGGATAAACTTGACTGACAATAATACAAGAGAAGATAAATTTACAAGTAAAGAAAATATGAGAGTGAGCAAGTAACTTGCCCTAGATAAGTCTTGGTTAGATATTTCAGAGAGTGACTGACGAAATTGGTCTTCATCAGGGGGCGATACGTTGCAGTATCTCTGCACAAAACAAAAGCAAGACATGAATAGAGGAATGCATCTCGTGTAGAAAAGATCTCCAAGGCATACACAAATAGCGTCTTCATTTACCCAACTTGACAGACAAATACAGAGAATGTGAACAAATGATATGATAGTTCTTACTTTTATCTTCATCTCTTATGGACATAATTGCTTGATATTGAACTCATGATACAACCAAATAAATAAATAAAAAAAAGGGCAGCCTGGTGCACCGGGGAAGGCCGGACCACAAGGGTCTATTGTTAATTATCTGTCTATAAGTTCTAACTTCTTGATAATGTAGGAATTCAATACCAGCACCAGCAGAGAAGGCACAAGTTTATTTGGATGGAAGGATTAAGTACCATCATTTGGAGGAACTTCCCAGGAGGACCTAAAGGGGTGGAAATTTTAGGTGCAACAAAGAGGGATATTTTACGTGTTACCTAAATGAGTAAATAAGAAAATGTGGCAAAGGCCTCGGAGAAATACTAGGCTTCTTGACATCAGTACCTGATTAAGCGAGTTAATAGGTCCATCCTCAAGAACAGACCTACTTTGACGTAATAAGCATAAATGTTCCACCCACAACAATAGTCAACTATAAGCTACTTTCTTTTTCTTTTTAATAGCGGTGTTGTCTAGGCCAAATTGTGCACACCTTGATTATTCCACCAGGTAACTAAGTACTCTTAAAGAAGCATGTTATGTCAAAATTATGGAAAATATAACCATTAATGTTAATGCATGGCAGTCAATGGATACACATAACAGGCCAAGCCTGTGATCTGGACATAATACAGGATTTAAGGTTCCTAGAAAATGATTTTCATTTATTAGAAAAAAAATAAAAATAAAATTACCTTAGAAGACGATCAGGATAAGATATCTTCAAGCAATGCAGGTGTTTCTCAAGGTTATGGCCCACAAGTACTCTACGAAGTGGCTCTACGCTGTAAAGAATCTGCTGAATTCTCTCCCGGACTTCATTCAAAGGCATGGTATCTTGTAGAGTTTCTTCTGTTATACCAGTAATTTCATACCTGGCACACAATGATGAGGAAGTATGAAAAGGTGTGATACCAAAAGCGTCATCTTACACTATAAATAGATATGTTTATTTGCCAGAAGATACCTATAATCAACCACAGGAGTCTGAGGTAGGACATAAGTGTGAAAAATAATCTTTTCATCTTTGTCAACTAGCATACCCTTGCGCAAAGTTCTTGTGACAAATCACCTTCAACCATTTCACAATCTATGGCAACTACTTCCTGACCTCTTATGTTGTCCATATCATCTTCTGAATGATGCATCTCCATTGACTCATGCAAGAATTATACATACACATTCCAACAACTAAACATACATCTAAACTATCCTAAATGTAACTGATTCTTGTGAAAGCATTGAGGAAAGAACATTCATCAACTCACAATGGGTTGAGGAGTGGTAAGATGACACACTTCCTTATGCTCGTTGAGAGAGTCCACGCTGCTACAGATTTTCAGACACAAAATGCAGCTTCTTTCAGCAAAGATGCTTGAACAGTTCACTTTGGCCAATGGACCTGAATATTAAAGTGAAAAAGCAACTTAGAGATCATTTACATGTAAAAAAACATTCATTGTCTAAGCACAACAACTTGCCAGCAATGTGCTCCCTTAGTGATTCAAATGATTTGCAATGTTTGTTACACACACCGCATGTAGGGTCATGAACCGAATGATGAGATGTTCGCATATGTTCAATAATATGCTCCTTCCGCTTGCACTGCTTGTAACAAGCTGGACATTTGTGCCTGACATCACATAAGAAAGTTGTTATGCCTTCAAATAAAGAGCAAATAAATTTCTGTACTTATGAGGATTCGATATGGGGTTGGAGGAGTAATATCAACACATTCAATAGACGGCTGTGATTGGAAGTTGCTTAATGAGCTTGGAGGGCTATGATGCTGCCAGCTCGGACGAGGTTGTTATAAGGTTAACAACCAGAAAATCTAACAGATCAATTGGTATTTTCTCGTTTCTCCTCTCTCTCCAGATTTCTTCCTTCTTCTTCTCTTTCAGTCTAAATTCTTGTCCTTTTTATCTTCTACTGCAGATCTCAAGCTCATCTATATATGGCATCCCAACAGATTAGTTCAATTCAGTACTCGTACTAGACCAACCACTTACAGGTTGAGTCCAGAAGTCTATGAACATAGGAAGAACTACCAGCTTTGTTTCAGATGTGGAGATAAGTATGCTCCAGGGTATAAATGTAAAAATAGGCAGCTGAATTGCATCAAGGGAAGCAATAAGATGAGCAAGTGGCATGGGCAGCACCTACTGAAACTACTAAAATAGTTGAGGAGGAAGCCCTAATTGATGTGGTAATTGAAGTGGAAATCCAACTAGAGACGCAAGAGGCTATTTGTCCGAGTGCCTTGGCTGGCAATCACAATAGGGTGAATACCATTTTAGTAAGGGGAATAGCTAAGAATAGAAGTCTAATTGTGTTGGTGGATTTAGGAAGCACTCATAGCTTTATTGACTCCCAAGTTGTGATAAAAACTGGTTATGTGGCAAATTATAGCTCTCCTATACCTTTTATTAAAAAAAGGGAAAAAGGTCTGATATACTCTCAACTTTGTCATTTAGAATTGATATATTCTCGCTATGAAAGTGGCTCATATATACCCCTACTTATATACAAATGGCTCACATATGAGTATATTTAATCCTCATATATATATATATATATATATATATATATATATATAAAATCCCATATGAGTATATTTAATCCTCCTCAAGCATATATATTTTTTTTAACATTTTTTTTGTTTCAATGACTAATTTAGATTTATAATTTTGATGGTCAAATTTATTTATGTTTCACTAATATTCTTGTAAAACTTATTATAGATGACCAAATGTTTTTCTTCAAATACAAAAATTAAATTACAATATAGACCAAAAAAAATAATTTTAAATTATAATATAGCCACAAAAAAATAGTTTTAAATTTTTTTCTTTACACTAAGGAATGAAAGAAAAAATAAAATAAGAATAAGAAACTCAAATAATTATACTAAAAGAAGTCAAAAAATAATTTATGTATAAAATAGATTAAAATATACCTTGTACTTTGCTAGAAGAATCATATATACCCCTAAATAATTTTTAAGAAAATTAAAAGTCAAAAATATAAATTTAAAACTAACTTTTTCACTTCCGTTAAATGAAGGGTATATGTGAGCTCATTTTGTAACTGTAGGGGTATATGTGAGCCGTTTGTATAACGGTAAGGGTATATATGAGCCACTTTCATAACAAGAGGCATATCAGCTCCAAATGACAAAGTTGAGGGGTATATCAGGCCCTTTTCCCTTAAAAAAATAGCTCTCTTATTAGGGTCACTGTTGTTGATGGTAACTATATGTTGGGTACATCTACATGTACTAGTTTCAGCTGGAAGATGGGAGGGAAACCATTCAGAGAAGATCTAAGAATTATCAAGTTGGGAGGGTGTGATATAGTCCTAGGGAATGACTGGATGAAAAAATACAACCCCACCAAGTTTGACCATGAGAAGAGGAGTGTCACTATTGGCAAGAAGGCCAATAAAGTGGTGTTGCATGCTATTCCAGAAGGGGGAAGTATTCACATAATCAACAGTGGTACAATTAATGGGAAAACTGATCAGGAAGGGTCAGACTTTGATGGCTCACTTGTTCATAGTCAGCATGGACACAACTACTGAGCAAGAAACCATTGAAGAACTGATAAGAGTAGTGTTACAACAATTTGAGGATATCTTTACCGAACGTAAAGGTTTACCACCAGTGAGGAGTTTAGACCACTCAATTCCATTGAAGCCTGGATCATCACATGTTAGCTTAAGGTCTTACAAGTACAATTACTTTAAAAAAAAGGAGCTAGAGAAACAAGTGAAGGATATATTATCACATGGTATTATTCAGCCCTTTCAGTTGCCTTTTTCTTCACCTGCATTGTTAGTGAAAAAGAAGGATGGACTTGAAGGTTATGTGTAGATTTAAGAGGGTTGAATAAGGCTACGGTGAAAGACAAGTATCCCATACCCATTGTAGATGATCTATTGGATGAGTTACATGGTTCAATGCTATTTTCAAAAGTGGATTTAAGAGCTGGTTACCATAAGATTATAATGAAATTTGATGATGTGTTTAAGACAACATTCAGAACATATATCGGGCACTGTGAGTTTAGAGTGACGCCATTTGTGCTTACCAGTGCCCCAACTACATTCCAAGCTCTGATGAACCAGGTATTTCAAACATTTCTCAGGAAATTTGTGCTAGTTTTCTTTGATGATATCTTAATATACACTCAGTTTCTTAAGGACCATGTGAAGCATGCTACTACTGTTTTTATGATATTGAGGGACCATTCACTTTTTGCTAAGAGATCCAAATATTCATTTGGTCAGTCCAAGGTTGAATATCTTGATTATGTCATTAGTGCTCTTGGGGCGGTAGCTACTGATCCTGAAAAGGTAGTGGCTATGGTGCAGTGGCCTAGACCCTCTTCCTTGAGAGCTTTGAGGGGATTCATAGGACTGACAGGATACTACAGGAAGTATGTGGCCAATTATGGTACAATATGTAGATCATTCACTAACCTCCTCAAAAAGGACAGTTTTAATTGGAGTGGTGAGG